GATGGGTAAGTTATTAATACTCGATTTTAAAATAGATCAATATAGTACCAAGGCTACATGGGACCTACACGCCATACTGGCCGGTGGTATAGACATCGACTTGTCTAAACTGATCCCTGGCTTTGATAAGGACGGCTGTCACGACACTCCCTGTCCCGTCAAAACAGGAGAGACTAAGAAGTTCTCATATAATCTAACTATACCTGAGACCACCCCTACCATCGAGGCTGATATCAAAGCCCGGCTTATTGGCGACTCCGGTGACATATTCTGCGGTTCAGTTCACGGACATATTGTCAAATAAATGGATCCTGAATATAATCAATTGGATCCTGAATACAATCAATGATATGTTTATCATGTTTTAATATATTTAATGTCACAATTGAATAGTGAATTAATTATATATAATAAAAATAAATGAAAACTGTAAGAAACAATAATATTCTAAGTAAATTAATTTCACTATATTAAAATTATATTACTTATAAACATCAATTTTGTGTTTTTCAAATAAATAAGCTTCAAACATTTTATAAAAGATTATTCAAACAATAAAATTGAATAAAAATATTATTTACATTTACATTATTATTTACATCATAACAAATTGTAAGCGTGTAATTGCTTTAGACTGTAAATAAAGCATTAACACTATCTTTTGTATATTCTTATAGAATTAAACATTTTTAATTGTTATTTAAAATTAATTAATTGTATTAATAATTATATAGTGGCAAAAATTAATTTTATTTAGCGTGTTTAATCATTTCGATTAATCAGTTCCATTAATAATACTTAAACAGTTTATAAATGTTTATTAATAAATATCAAACAAAAACTTTAAAGTCCTACATGCAAAGGATCATAATTTATGTCACAATAGATTTTTTAAAAACCTAGATGAGTATTCTATATTGTGTAACAAATGTGTCAAATATACATCAATTTGGAATCAAATGATAGCTCGCGCCTTTTAAAATAAGTATTCTAGTACATTTACTGTAATATATTGTATATATTATTGCATTATAGTTGTGTCAATACTCAAGATACTTTTACGATCACAATAGTACATTTTATTTGTAATACACAATATACTAATAAAACTCTGGGATATCCTATTAGACGGGATACATATGTAGGATAAGATTAAGATCCTGGTTAGATAACCACACACAATGCGATTAGTTCATTATATATCCTTGATTGAATAATAATTACAATACAATGCACAAATTAATCCTGTTAAATTCAT